AGGTAAACTTTGCATGCTTTTGGGAAAACTGTTATAGTTCCTGAAGGACGGCATCTGGTTCTCTTTTATCTTTTAGTACTCCCCCTCCTCCAATGAATTATCTGTTTCTAATCCTCATCTCCTCTTCTCCCCCCCACCCAAAACCACAGACTAAATATCTCTAGGTAATGAATTGACCTGACCCAAAATAATGTGGATCCTTTTGCTGTGACAGGTAGTTCAATCTAATGTGTTGCCTAATATGTTCAAGAGCACTTATGAAGCTATTACTAAGGGCAACCCACGTGGAATCAGCTCTCTGTCCTTGCTTCCACACTTTACAATTGGGATCCTAATTCAACATACATACATGAGTCACCATACTTCAAAAATATGACTCTAGAACCACCGGGGCCTCATGGAGTGAAGGATGCCTATTGCTTACTTAAGTTTGGTGACAGCATTACCACTGATCATATCTCCCTAGCAGGAAGTATCACCAAGGATAGCCCCGCTGCAAATTATCTCCTGAATCATGGGGTTCAACCCAAGGACTTCAATTCTTATGGTAGCTGTAGAGGCAATGATGAAGTGATGGCAAGAGGTACATTTGCCAATATTCGTCTTGTCAACTAGCTGTTGAATGGAGAAGTGGGTCCAAAGACAATTCACATTCCTACAGGAGAAAAGCTTTATGTGTTCGATGCAGCAATGGTGTGTTGTATTATCTAGCATCAATACTGAGCTAATTAGGCAACAAAACATGATGAGAAGATTAATTTCTTCATGTTGACTGTCTATTATTGATGAATGGATGCAATCTTACTTGCAGAGATACAAGGATGCTGGACAGGACACAATTGTCTTAGCTGGTGCAGAGTATGGAAGTGGTAGCTCACGAGATTGGGCTGCCAAGGGTCCAATGCTACTTGTAAGCACATGCTTGCCATCTTTAATATTTCACACCTCATTGGTATTTTTGTAGTTTCCTCTTTCAATTTTTTCTCATCCATTCATTCCCATTGGTTCATTGTGTTCAGGGTGTTAAAGCCGTTATTGCCAAGAGCTTTGAGAGAATCCATTGGAGCAATCTAGTAGGTATGGGGATCATTCCTCTCTGTTTCAACCCTGGTGAGGATGCTGATACCCTTGGATTGACGGGTCATGAGCGTTACACAATTGATCTTCCAAGTAAAATTAGTGAGATCAGACCTGGCCAAGATGTTTCCATCACAACTGACACTGGCAAATCCTTCACATGTATAGTGCGCTTTGATACAGAGGTATGTGTTAATGGCGAGTGAAAGCGGCATCATCAAATTATGAGGGTAGAGTGTGTTTGTTAATTTTTCAATGTCTAAACTTGCTTATATGCAGGTGGAATTGGCCTATTTCAATCATGGTGGCATTCTTCCATATGTTATTCGGAGCCTGTCAAAGCAGTAGGCAAATTAAGCTTCAGATGGTAGTTTGGAATCACTGTTGTCTCTCACAGAGCCAGGGTGCTGGAGTCTTACAAAAGCTTTTTAAAAAGTTCTAATCTTTATTTTTCTTCTTTATTGAAATTTTCTTTTATGAATTTGTTCTCACTGAATAAAATTTTCATTGCTGTGTTATGGCTTGAATCTAACATCTCTACAGTAAAAAAGATGGAAGTTACAATTGGTTTTCTTCGGTAAAGCTTGCTCAGTTTGATTAGGCAGCTTCATGAACTCCTACCGATAAAATCATGAGAAGTTTCAACACTT